AAAAAAAAAAAGAAAATCAAGAGGGTCACTCAAGACCAGACTAGCGGCCTAGGAGAGGCTGGGTGAGGGAGAAGCGCTAATCACCAGCTCCAGGCCACAGGAACATCCATTACTCTTCACCCAGTCAGGGCTGCTCCTACAGGGCCCGTCCTGCCCTCTGCTCCTTGGGCAGCGCAGAGCCCAGCCGGCTCCCTCCCATGGGGATCCAGTGTGGTCCTTCTCAGCCTTGCGGTCTGTCAGGGAGAAGCCGAGCTACCAGGACTCCCTGGGGTTCCAGCGGCTGGGCAGGTGGTGCAGCCTCATGTCCTCCTTCTGGATGTGCTCGTAGCAGGACTGGTGGGAAGGGGGCGAGGCTGAACCGGTGGGCCCGACTGCTCTGGCCAGACACACAGGTGCCCTGCCCCGGCCTGGCCTGGCCCAGCCATGTCTCCTCTTCATGCCTCAGTCTCACACTGTGGGGGCCTCCCTGCCATCTACTGTGCAGGAACCACAGGTAGAAGGCCCTCCTTCACGCTTTCCATCCCTCAGTCCCAGACTGTGGGGGCTCCTCTCATCCACCAGGTAGGAACCTGGGTCCCACAGGTAGGAGGCCCTCCCTTACCCTTTCCAACAGGTCAAGTTACAGCCTGTTTGAGCCCTCCCCATGGAGATGCACATGGTCTGTAAATCCCTGCTCCCCATTCCACACCCCCCCGATGAAGATGTCTCAGCCACCCCCCAGCTCTCACCTCCAGGGCTGTGAGCAGGAAGTCGTACAGGCCGCCCGCGTGCACAGGATCCATCATGTCCCGGATCAGGTGGATCTCAGCTCCGAGATGCTGGATTCTGAGGAAGATCCACCACCACCATTCCAGAAGCATGAGGGAGGAAGAAGAGGCCCATCAGGGACAAGGAGAGCCCTGGCTTGGGTGAAAGGACCCAGGTGTGGCACCCACAGGTGCTGGGGAGCCTCCCTTCTCTGGATATCAGCTCCCCCCTGTACCCTGTGAATGGCTGTCTCTGTGCATCTGTCAAAGACTCCTGAGCATATAGAGTGTGGGTACCCTTCCTGCTCCCAGCTCCCAGCTCCCAGCC